CCCCAGCTCCCCTGCTGCTGGCAGTTCCCAGAAGCCTCAGAGAGCTCCACCCACCACCACTGCTGCTGCAGGTGCTTCACGCACAAGATCTGATAGAGGTGCCAAGAGCCGAGTTCAGGAAAATGCAGGTTCCTCTGAGGCCTCGTCCTCCAGTGAGAGCTCTCAAAATGATCCTCTAACCAGAAAGGCAGGAATGTTAATGCACTTCCTGCTGGAGAAGTATAAAAAGAAAGAGCCCATTAAGAAGGCAGAAATGCTGAAGGCTGTCAACAACAAGTACGAGAAGCACTTTCCTGAGATCCTCAAGAGAGCCTCTGAGCGCCTGGAGCTGGTCTTTGGCCTTGATCTGAAGGAAGAAGTCAACCCTAGTGGGCAGTCCTACACCCTTGTCAGTAAGCTAGACCTCAACGATGATGGAAGTCTGAGCGGTGACGGGGAATTTCCCAAGAATGAGCTTTTGATGCCTCTCCTGGCTGTGATCTTCTTAAATGGCAACTCTGCCACTGAGGAAGATATCTGGGAATTCCTTAATGTTTTGGGGGTCTATGATGGGAGCAGGCACTTAATCTTTGGGGAGCCCCGAAAGCTCATCACCCAAGATCTGGTGCAGGAAAAATATCTGGTGTATCAGCAGGTGTACAATAGTGATCCTCCACGCTATGAATTCCTGTGGGGTCCCAGAGCTTATGCAGAAACCAGCAAGATGAAAGTCCTGGAGTTTTTGGCCAAGGTCTATGATACCGTCCCCAGTGCCTTCCCATTCCATTATGAGGAGGCTTTGAGAGATGAGGAAGAGAGAGCCCGAGCCAGAGCTGCAGCCAGGCCTGGCACTTCTGCCAGGGCTAGTGCACGTCCTTGGGCCACAGCCAGCCGCAGCCGCTCGTCCCACCCCTAGTAAGGTCTAAGACAGCTTCTCCACTTTGTTTTTGAGGCTAGCTTCCAACCTTTTATATAGTGAGAGTCTGAGATGTGGCTAGAAAGATCATAATATGTATCTTATTTGTGTTTTTCTTATACATTAGTATCTTTCAAATGTTCGCCTTTTTTATTTTTATTTATTTATTTTTTTATTTCAGGGTATTGTGAAGGTACAAACATTATGGTTACACTTTATGTGTTTGCCTCACTCAAGTGCGAGTTAAAGGCATGCCCTTACCCGCTACAGTGCTCCCCCTGTCCTTTAGTTGTGGATTTACCCCCTCATCCCCCTAATCCCTGGTGAGTATTTCTGCCATGTGATCACCCTAGTGTTGAAATGTTCTCCTTTTAATAGAATGCTTATTTAGATTCAGAATCTATGTTTATGAATGACATGGATCATACATTTATTGCTGTTCTCAGGTTTAAGAGTAAGAGTTTCAGTATTGTGTGATACATTTTTAAAATCTTTGAATCTTTTGGGAGTTGAAGAACAAGAAAACATGGCTCTGGCATGGGGATTTTCTTGGAAATGTGTGTAAGACCCTTGCAAAACATAATTGGGGTGTTAAAATAGAGGAAAAGAAAGCAAAACATAGTCAACTTTTGGTTTGCCTCATTTACTTTTGTCTTTCTTTTTGTAAAATTCAAAGATATATATGTGGTCTTCCTTAACATATTTAAGAATGCAATAACATTAAAGAGTAATAAATTACATTCCTTGCTCGGTGGCTCATTTATTCCTATCATTAATTGAGCATCTGCTCTTTGGAACGCTCTGTGCTAGTAGTGATGGTGCTAAGATAAAGAAGACCCTTTCCCTGTCCATAGATTTTTAGACTCTAAGAGTAGTTATTATAAAGGAAGATGATGTGATACACTCTAACATGTACAGGACAAGTAATAAAAAAGGAGTGAGGCTGGTGGGAGGAGGTCCAAGTGATAAAAATCAAGTGTAAATTCCCTGAGCCAAGGCACTTTGTGGTATAGGACATTGCAAATCCCTTGTTGCAAGGTCATTTTAAGTTAGCTCCATGGTGGGCTAGGTGAGGTTGTGATCATACTGAGCAGGTGTCAGACCTTCAGATGGCAAGCCTTATAGTTGAGAGACTAAGCCTAGAATGGAAAACTGCCCTTAACTTTGGGATCATGGGTAAAGCAGAGGGAATTTCTACCTGGAGTAGGAATGGAAGAATACAGCACTCTTGTCCCAGTGCAGTTGAACACAGTATGCACACTAGGTTTTTTATACATATTGTCTCCAGAGAGTTTCTGAGAAATAAGGGTGATACTCCCTTGAGGTGAGATGCCAAGAAGCCACTGGGGTGGCACTCTTTGCCCTCACCTGGTAGAGTCATGAGCCTATTCCACTAATTAGGCTGCTTTGTTTATGTTGGCAAAACTTCACGGTAAGGCTGGATTTTGTTGGTAGTGAAATAAGTGAAAATAAGGATGCTTTTGTTGGGAGTGCTTCTGAGATGGAAGGGAATTGTTCGTTCTTGATGTAAATTTTACAAGCTTTGGGTTAAATTCTGGTGAAGTCCCTGCCCCCAGATTAAATAACATATTCTCTAGTGGGGAAAATTTACTTAGTAGCATTTTGGCTTATTTGGTTTTCTTTGTCCTGGAGCACTGCATGTTCTCTTACATCTCTTGGAAAAAACAAAAAGTTCCCAGAGATGAGAGTTATCTTTTCTGGTGTGAATATAATCATAGTAATTACTACCATTCATTAAAGAACCAGTATTTACCAGTCACTTGGCCAGGCGCTTTACATATATTACATATGTTCCAAGAATCCTACAGGATGGAGCTTATCAAACTCACTTGGCAGATGAAGAACTTGCAGTATTCTCAAGCTCACATGGCTGGTAAGTGACAGGGCTGGGACTAGACCCCTGATCTGAATTCCTCTAGCACCCACACTGTTCTACCCTCCCAACCCAAGGCCAGCCTCTGTCTCTTAATTGTTCTCACTACTCCACAACTTATCTCAAGTGATAAGAAGTCCCCTCTGGCCAAAGCACTAAAAGCAGGTCTAAAGAAGGAAGGTAAAAATGAGAATCAAACACAATTTGGGATTGTCTGTGGGGTTTATCGGCCCGAGGTCCTCCTGCCTCTAGCCCCAGGGCTCCTCCAGACCTGACTCTGCTGCCCTGGTCCCTGCACATGAGTCCTGTCCCAGCACTTTCCCACATTACAGGGCTCTTCCCCTGAGTCTTTCCCAGTGTTCCCTCCTGTCCAAACTGGAGCTGACCTGCTGGCTCTCTCTTCACTGTGTCCTTCTCTGGAGCCTGCACCTGCTCCTGGAGCAACAGACAGCCCAGACTCACCTGCCTTCTCCCTGACATAGAGGATTCTAATTGCATGGAGGTCCTGTCCCTCGCTGTGGGCTCCCTCTGTCAGCAACAGCCCCTTCTGTGTAATTTTTCACTTCAGATAGTGAACTTTAGACACCTATTCACCCCCTTGGTTGCCTATACGATACTGTCAAAGTGTTTTCAAATCTGATGGTGAGTAGAGTTTGACTTGGCACAGAATCTACTGATTCTTGGTTTATAATCCTGAGGCTGGAGAGGTTTTTAAAACCACGCGGATACTGACAGTTGGATTTTAATGGAGTATTTTATTTGAGACTGGCCATTGAACACATAGACCAATGAGTGAGCATACCTAGGTGATCAACAACCAAAGCCTCCCTCCCAAGAGGTAGGTGAAGAAAGACAGAGGAAATCATTGTGTAAGTTAACATCTACTTGAGGCTGAATCCCTAAAAATCCTTCTTGGAGTCCTTCTCAGAGATGGAAAATGATTCCTTGGCAGACATGCTAGCTTTGAATAAAAAGGAAAAAAATAACTTACTATCCTTCCATTTACTCTTGTCTGTACTTGGCGCAGGGGAAAATGCTGGGGTTTTTTTTTCACTGTGCTTAATTGCACCCGTTCAGGTGTTCAGGTGGTGTGTGGCTATGATTTTGACCATGCACCAAAAAATAGGAGAAAATTCTCAGCCTACTGAAATTATGCAAGTTTATTGTAAGGGGTCATGCAGTACGGTGTTATTGAATAACAAAGGGTGAACTCTCCCTGTAGTGATTTACAGGGTCATTTTAAAAATTAGCTGTGACCCTGTGTTTCAAAACATCTGTCGCATAATAAGCACTAGAAAAATTTGGCAAATTTCAAGGCAAATTTGGCCTTCTTAGAAACTCTTCCAAGAAATGAAGAGGTCTGTTGTCCTAACAAATTGTAATAGTTGCCCTTTACCTACACCTACTATGTAACAGTTTATGGTAGAGAGGGGCAACTGTTCATCCACATGATGCCTCACTCTCCTTCCTGGGCTCACGGGGAGACTGCATCCCCAATCTACTAATCTACTTGTAGTTAGGAAAGGTCATGTGGCTAACCCTTGCCACTGAAATACTAATGTTAATAGAATCATGTTTGTCACTTCCAAGCCAAGGCACATGAGAGCCAGCCTGCCTCCTCCATTTAGCTGCAAACACGGAGAGCCCATGTTGAGGTCGGGAGCCATCTGATGGAAGCAGACTGGATCCCTGGGTCACCTAACAGCAGAGAGCTTCTGCCAACCCACATCAGATTTTATGTGCACAAAAAATAAGTCGGGCACGGTGGCTCACGCCTATAATCCTAGCACTCTGGGAGGCTGAGGAGGGAGGATCGCTCGAGGTCAGGAGTTCAAGACCAGCTTGAACAAGAGCGAGACCCCATCTCTACTTAAAATAGAAAGAAATAATCTGGACAACTAAAAATA